CACCTTCAAACGCAGGATAAGAGAAGCTATTCAAATTAAACTTACGAAACCGGCGTTAAACAGAGACAATGGTTACGAATTAGCAGCTATCTATGACAAAATTCTAACCCCCAAGAGGCGTTAAAAAAAACCTTTTTAAAATTCATCTTTTTAACATTCATATCATTGACTGATGAAGTCCGATCGAAATACGGACGAAATATTTCATAACTTTTAACTTTTAGCTCCGAGTTTGGAAAAAAATTTTAACTTTTATTATGCTTCCGGAGCAGGAAATTAACGTTTTTGATTGAATCTTAAAAGAGTTTTTTTTTTCGTTTTAGTTTCAACAAGCGGCGCCAGCGACTGGCAGGCATGCAAAGACTCACATTGAAATAACAGAACAACCTTCGTTTTTCATAAAATTGTAATTTACAATCCTTGAACTTGAAAACAATCCGAAGATTCATTGAAAATATCACTTACTGCGAAGCGCTCGGAGTTTACAGATGTTCAAAAGCTTTTTCTGTTATGGCGTGAGATTGCGGACAAAATCGATCATTACGTTTCGTCGCGTGTGTTTTTCCTGTGTGAAGCAACTGAAGATGCCGGCGACTGACGAAATAACAAGTTAACACGAAAATTAAATAACACCTAAACAAACAATTTTAGCTACCGATTTTCAGTGAATTTTTAAAGAACAATTTTCTTTTAGGTTTCAAGACAATTTGAAGATTCAACATACATACAACGTACTAAAATGCGAAAGTTACACACCACAAAATTGATAAATAGGCCTGAAATGAAATTCTATCTTGTTATTGATTATACGTTGCCTAGCACGTGACTTAAATCTACCCAGGCGGAGATCCAAAATGACGGTGGCAGGCTTGGCTTTGTTATATCACTCAAAACTCGTTCCCGTTTGTCTCGTTTGATAAAGAGGGAATCGTTAATGTTTTCATTAAGACAGTATTGCCTTGATTTTCTAATATTTACAACGAAAGACAGTACATTTCACTTTTCACCCACATTTACTTACAACCTTTTCTTTTGAACCAGAAACAATCAAAGTGCTCTGTGAGCAAACTCGTGAATTGACACATGATTTTTTAGATTATGTCTAATGTTATCTGGTTTAGGGAATTTTGTGGTTGATTGTCATATCTAGAGTACGAGCAGTAGTTCAGTGTTCGCTAATGTAGCAAAGAAACAAAGTAACGTTGGGATAAGATGGCATTACAATTGAAATGATCATGCTATTACATTTGACAAGGTGGATGATGTCATGTGTTTTAAACGTCTATCATCTTTGTTTCTGGTTCAAAAGAAAAGGTTGGAAGTAATGTGGGTGAAAAGTGAAATTTACTGGCTTTCGTTGTAAATATTAGAAAATCAAGGCAATACTGTCTTAATGAAAACATTAACGATTCCCTCTTTATCAAATGAGACAAACGGGAACGAGTTTTGAGTGATATAACTAAACCAAGCCTGCCACCGTCATTTTAGATCTCCGCCTGGGTAGATTTAAGTCACGTGCTAGGCAACGTATAATCAATAACAAGATAGAATTTCATTTCAGGCCTATTTATCAATTTTATGGTGTGTAACTTTCGCATTTTAGTACGTTGCATGTATGTTGAATCTTCAAATTGTCTTGAAACTTAAAAGAAAATTGTTCTTTAAAAATTCACTGAAAATCGGTAGCTAAAATTGTTTGTTTAGGTGTTATTTGATTTTCGTGTTAACTTGTTATTTCGTAAGTCGCCGGCATCTTTTGTTGCTTCACACAGGAAAAACACACGCGACGAAACGAAATAATCAATTTTGTCCTCAATCTCACGCTATAACAGAGAAAGCTTTTGAACATCTGTAAACTCCGAGCGCTTCGCAGTAAGTGATATTTTCCATGAATCTTCGGATTGTTTTCAAGTTCAAGGATTGTAAATTACAATTTTATGAAAAACGAAGGTTGTTCTGTTATTTCAGTGTGAATCCTTGAATGCTTGCCAGTCGCTGGCGCCGCTTGTTGAAACTAAAAGGAAAAAAAAACTCTTTTAAGATTATCATTGGCTTCTTTTTCATCCCACCACTATTCTTAGCAACAAAGGTCGCCATTTCGTCTGTTTATTGCTCGCCAAAAACTATCAAATGCACTCAAAAGCCTAAAATCTAAAAAAAGTTTACAGGAATCGACCAATCGAGCGAGCGAGCGAGCGAGCGAGCGAGCGAATGCTATTCCCCACATCGTATCTATAACTCGCTCTTGCGCATGCGCGCAATTCACGAGTTAAAAATGATAGACGTTTAAAACACGACATCATCCACCTTGTCAAATGTAATAGCATGATCATTTCAATTGTAATGCCTTCTTATCCCAACGTTACTTTGTTTCTTTGCAACATTCGCGAACACTGAACTACTGCTCGTACTCTAGATATGACAATCAACCACAAAATTCCCTAAACCAGATAACATTAAACATAATCTAAAAAAATCATGTGTCAATTCACGAGTTTGCTCACAGAGCACTTTGATCCACTGTGATATTGTGCAAGATTACATGTTGTACATGCGATCTGCCCCTAAGCATGCTAGGTAATGAGAGTGTTTTTTTTGCATACTTAACTCTATTCGCGCATTGGCCTGGTGAAGACAAAGTTTCATCTCCTCTGTGTTGGTGATCTGCAATATCAGAATAATTTTCAGTTTCCAGTCACTGGGTAGCTTGAGGTAATACAAACCAAAAACAACAAACAGCACAAACCAAAGAGATCTATAATCAGGCACTGAATCTTGTAAGAGACAGTATGGAGATAGATATTTTCTAAATTCTGTCTCTTGCAAAGACTTCATCTGAAAATGAAATTGTACAAATCAAACTGAAGCAGCTGTTGAAGCTAATGGATTGACAGGGGCAAAGGCAAAAAGCTCTAAAGTGGAAATGACCTTTTCATTTGAAATATTTTAAAAAGGCAGAATTAAGAAACATTTTCATATATCCCGTAATTTCACCATTCAAATTTCGACTCGATAGGCCTGGCCTTCGGACGTGTGCACTTGTAAGCATGTTCTTTGATTCAGCTTAAGAAGCGATAAGTCACAACCACTTCATCTCAGAATTCCTTTACTAAGACACCGAAACACTGGAAATTATATTATAGGGTCAAAATACCAGCAGAAACTTCAAGAAATCCTTACTCACGTTCTTGTTCTTACGGAATAATTTTCTCGCTTCATCTTGGGTGTACAGTCTCTCCGCCTCAGTATCTGCGGCTGTTGTCACTCTTTACTGCCTTTCTACTCGAAATATTTGCCCGTATAGCGACAGTACTTCCCTAATCAACATTGGCAGAACCGACTTGCAATTTCTTTGAAGGAAACTGTGATCTTACTGCAGCCGAAAACTGCTGCAACCATGTCGGCGTGTGTTGCGCTATGTTGAATTTCATCCTTTAGGGTTACAGCACTGGCCATATGCGGCCCGACTCTTAGGAAATGATTTACTCCGGTGATTTTGTCTCAACCAAGTATTCGCGAGGTGAACATTACTGAATTCTCCCCAAGATGAGGCATAGGGGGCGGAAGGGGGGGTTCAGAGACTGAACTCATAGATATATGTCCCTGGAATGCCAGTCGAGTGCGGCTCTCCGCAGCTTGTATCTGTCCCGTCCATATTCAAAAGCTAGCAGTTTTTTTGGGGTGCTAAGTGGAAATAAAGGCAACAGAGCAACAGAGACGAGAGGGGAAGTCTCGCGTGGAAAATCCCATCTATTTTTTCGTTTAAGGCCTCTCGCAACTTCACGGCCAGTTCTTCGCAGCTCCGCTGCTTGACGCTTAAAATCGCGCACAAAACTGTTAGGTACACGGGCCGAGGCTGACACACAGGCTGTCTTTCATAGGAAAGTGTCATGGTTGGGCATGCGTATTGAAACATGGAAGCATCTCAAACGTACGATCAAACTTCGTCTCTCACCTCTGTTCCGGCTTTCATTTACTACGCTACTAAAATTATTGTCATCAGTGTCAATTCCAATCGTAAAAGACCACAACACAGCTAGATACTTTCTTGCATTACTGACAATGTGCGCTTTACAAAACCAACCGCTGCCTGCCTAATAGGAATTAGAGGAATATGTAAATCATTCTAGCTCCAACAAGTCTCATTTCTAAGAGTGTTTCTTTTCGAAGCCTCTACAGGAATAACTGACAGGTAAAACTAACTTATGGGTGGAGGATTGACGAATGAAATAGGTTTTATTACTATTATTTTGGACGTAACAAAGATAACGAAACCAACAACAAATTATGGTAGTGTGTTTACTTGAAATATATTTTCCTACGGAATCACAGAACGCATGTCTTATTGTTGTTATACACGTCTGTAAGTTGCGATAGATCTTTCACAATTGTCTCATACTGCTGACGATCGTGCTTTTTCCCGGCTGGTAGGGCGTTTTCCCATAGATGTTGTCCGAAATACCGCTAGGGTGTCAACAAAAGGGTGTTGGTCTGGAAAACGACATATATAACTAAGAATTAAGAACAATTTCTATTAATCTTAGAGCGCTTTTCGTTTGGGTGTTTCATCATAACCGTCATTTAAAGCAGAAAAAAATATCTGAATAAACCGTCGTAAAACTCGAAGTAAAAAAAATAAAAAATAAAAAAACGCAAACTACCTAAAGGAAAATTACCTGACGGAAAGCGTCAGTGAATAAGTCGCCATGATTTTTGGTTTGGATCTTTTTAGTTGAATTTAGCTGAAGTGCGTGATCTAAGCCAATCACTGAGCACGTTGAAGGATAACTCCTGGATAACTCTCGACACTTACCCGGAAATTACTCCACCTCTCGAACATTATATCGCGCATCTGAGTCACAATTCTCCACACAGATGTGGCGGATCCCCACGCGGCAAGATAGTTCGTGTCTGCTTTTTAGCTCACATAGGATAAAGTTTTATAGCTTTATCGTCGAAGAAAAACAGAAAGTGAAAACGAATATAATATCCATTTAATGTTTATGAGTTACATACTTTCTTCTGAACTGTTGGTTTGGGTCTCTGGGTGAAACCACTGACTAGTGAACTTCAGTATTGCACTACGAGGAAATTTATATCAAAACTAAAATATTTACATCTAATCTAGTGATCTAAGAGAGCCTTATTTGGGTAAACGTTTTCCTGGCCAATTCGATGAAATAAAAGATTTAAGAAAGACGTTAATTGTTTAGTTTCTTCAGTAATACAAAATTCTGTGTTGAATCACCATATTGCTTGCTTCTCATAGTGTCTTCATAGGTCTACTGTCCATGTACTGAGGTTCTACACTGGAAAGTATGAGAGTAATTAAAGGCTTAAAACTGCAATTTTAGAGAATGTAAGTTGATTTTCTCGTAGTAGTAGAAATATTGGTTAAGAGACGATGGAACAGCCGGCAGGAAAGAGGAAGGAAGAAAGGGAGAAAGATAGGAAGACGTAAATGAAGTAAAGAAGGAAGGAGAAAGACTTAGGCACGAATAGATAAGCATTAATTAGAATTAGTAAATGAATGACGAAAAAAATCGAATAGGTGGACAATTAAAGAGAAAAACATATACAAAAAAAGCAGACCCAAAAAAACTCCCTCAATTGTCAAAGATTTGAATAAAGCAGCGATAGTAAGGAAAAAATAACTTGCCTACCAAAAACCTTCCTCCTCATCTCCCTTATAAGAATCTCGCATTGTTCTTCCCATTTGTAGTTCTGTCCATAAGATTCCCGCACTCGTTGCATCTCGTTTAGCCGCTTTTTTCTCTCCTTTTGACGGACCCTCTTAATCGCCTTTGACCAGTCTTCGGGACTATCTGAGTTAACTATACAGAGTTCTCCAAATTCTATCTTCTGCAACGCTTTTGCAAAGCCTGAGTTATGGCCAGCAAGGACAGGCACATCAGTGGATAAGGCCTCAAGAGCAGTGAGTCCAAATCCCTCTGTTCTTGAAGGCATGATAACCAGATCCATACGAAGAAGCAGCTCTTTTAATCGATCTCTATCCTTGATATATTCTTTGACAGACAGCTGGTTTTTAGAAATGCCATGTTGAAGAATCTTCGCCGCAAATTCGTCTTGTTTCCCTGGGGCCGCTCCAACGAAGGTGAGATAATAGAAGTCGTTTTTCAGCTCATGACTTGCAAATGCCCCAGCGGCAATATCGTAGCCTTTTAGCTCGAAGTCTTCGTCATCACCACGCCCAAACATTAGGACCTGAAATACGTCATTCTCGTTTAGCGACTGCTTCACATCAGTTAAATCTCTCATAATTCCCGGTGTAAATTCCACAACATCCTGATCTTTGTTGAAAGAGCGTAGATGATTGGAGTAGAAACCTTTCAATTTAGGTCCAACCGCCATGACAAGGTCAGCTATTTCGCATAGACTAACCTCACGCTGATTCTTTTCTTCACTTTGTGCGATAGCTTTCGGACAGTCCTTGTACATACCGAGTTCATCCGGAGCAGTGTGCACTACTTGAACCCACTTGCAGTCATGAGAGTCCCTAATAATCTGAGCCTGATGACCAAGCTTCGCGCCATGACCAATTACGACATCAATTCCAAGGTCCTTCGGTGGAAAAAACAATTCTACGGGGGAAGGGCATGCAATAAGTTTCTTGGCCTCCATAATAGTAACACAATTTTTCGCAGCTGCTGCTTTTTCTTCCAATCCACATGCACCGTGAGGAACAAGGAAAGTGATCTGAGTGTCGGATCGGCTTGCTAAATGAATAGCAAGTTCTCTGTTAAACGTCGATAATCCACCTTTCAGTGAATTCCACTCATCTGCTAAGATTGTAACTTTCAAATCCTCTTTTGAGAAATTATTTGAAGCTGTTTCTTCAGGTGCTTTCGGAGAGGGGAAAGATGTGCTGGATTCCAGCGCAACCTGAAATAACATAACAAGGTTATGGAAACGTGCGATAAATTATATTAACTTAAAACCCACCTTAAAGTTCCCTACTGATTCTATCAAGGTGTGCATTCGTGACCAATCAGTCTACACAAACCGGACTTAAAACAATCGATTGGCAACAGCCCTTCACTGGACTGTCTGATTATGACTTGTGCTGAGTTTGTCAAAACGTAAGTCACTACTACCGACAACAGTCCCTAGGGTCGTCAGGACTACACTCACCCGGACGATCAGACAACACGACCAACGAACTAATACCTTTAAAAGAAGACCGGAAAGCACTGATAGAAACTATAAAACTTGTGGGAGGCTTTTTTCAGCTCGTGACTTCATCAAAATCAAATGATCATTTTCTTTTTTCCGAGGGCGACACATCTGATAGAATATGATATCGAACATAAGCTGAGGGAAATGTAAATAACACGGAACTGCGAATAAATCTTTTTTCTGATCCATTAGTAAGTTTAAGACCTGGAAAGATAAGGACAAATTTCGTTGAAAACTTTGGATATCTGAAGGGTCGGTTGAAATTGCTAATTTCTTGTAGCTATTATCTTTAATATTTTAGAACTTTGCCTTTTTCACCTGATCTTCCTTTTGCTCAGGCATGGCTACCTGTGCTGTAGAAGGAAAGTACCTGGGAGAAGAGGTCTGCAACAGAGAAAGTTAATTTCTTAATATTTTATCCGACATTTATGTCTATCAATTCTCTAGCCTTGTCACTAGAAAATTGCTGTCAATTGGTTCATTTGACTCTATAAGGATATACCCTATGCCCTGTGCCTTTACCAAGCTAGAGTTCCTCAAAGCCGAGGAGACTCTGGTGCAAATGTGATATGATAGTCGTCGGTCATTTTAAAAGAAAACCCCTAACATTAATGGTCATTCACAATGGCAATTTTTTGCTGAGACTTTGAGTGCAATTTCTGTTGCGATTCACTCCCGTGATTTCATAAGGACTTAAAATCACTCACGTGGTAGTGTCTTCATTTTATTTTCACTAACAATCTGTAAAACTCAGGCTGCAGCAAACTGTCTGACTAGATATCCCACAAAAAGAGTAGTCTAGCTCTGCCAGTGGCAATTTAAGTCTAACTTAACCTCACCAGTGCCAAATAGATGCAAGATGATAAATAGAAAAGAAGTACAGTGAAGGAGTTATTTGAAAGAGCTAACTTAATCTTCTGTGAAGCTTCCTAGTCACGCACTTTGCACGGCAGCGTGAGGGGTGTAAAACCTTCGCACAGATGGAGGTATCTTTTGGGCGGGTGAATCCTGAGAGTTACTCAGCCCGAAGGACAGAGCTTTAAAATTACGTTTCCAAAATAGCTCCTTATCAAAATTTCCTCCCCTAGTTAAATATTTTCAACTTCACATAATACATACCTGATCTGGAAAGGTCGGAGTGAAATTTAGCGTGCATAATTTGTCCCTATGAGATTGCTTCTCCATGTACAACTCTACTTGCAGGTTACTAAGGTCGCTAATGGATACACGCAAACTTTCTTCAAAAGGATCAGTTCCGAGAAACCTGGCACCAACAAATTAAACGAAGATATAAATGCTAGGTATTTCTATTTGTCCAGGCAAAAGATATGTTTCTCCTTAAACATCTACTCCAAGTTGCCGGACACAATGGAAATCGGATGAACAAAAATTACTAAACTCACTTCAAGAAGTTGTCTAGATTTTCTTCTTGCATCAAAGTAAATGCTTCGGAAAGAGACACAGACATCCAATCTTCTTTACACAGTGGCTTGCGCGAGTTTCCTCCCCCTTGAGCACAAACGCGGCGAAGATCTGGAGATATAGGAGTTTGCACTTGTTCTTTAAGATGTAGTGGGAAGCAGCAAAGAGTCAGCACGTAGATCGTGGGATTTCCGGTTGCATATAAACGAGCAAAAAATCCTACTTCTTGTAACATCAGTCTTCTACAGAAGTCATCGGCAAGATTCTTTAGGGTAAAAAAGGGTAATTTCAATAGGTCAATCCAAACCCAGTACCTAAGGGAAAACGACACAAACTTAACAACATCTATTCATATAGTCATTAAAATTAAGAGAGTATTCCCGATCATTCATCTTCAAATCAGAGGGCGCACATCTTTGGACAAGAGAATATATGCAAATAATCTCTTGCGTAGAATTACGGATTAACTGCTAATGCACCGATCAATTCGAAGTTTCAACAACCCCCCCTCCCGGACAACCCACGGACATTTGACTGACGTCCGTGCCCGAGAAGGAGGAGAATTCGATCAAAAAGGCCTTTTCGTGGGTGGGAAATTTAAACCTTGCCCCGGGTGGGGTGGGGCATTTGAACCGGAAGTACGAATTTGAATCGGAGGTGTCAAGTCCTTTCAGCCGTATACACGAGCTCTTTTTTGAGATTGAATAATTTAAGAAAAAGGGGAAAAAAGGTCTTCAAACGCTGTGAAAATTTTGTGAGATTGAGTAGTGTGATTTTTAGGTTTTATAGCTTGAATAGTCAATTCAGTAAGTCGCAGCGCTGATCTCGCTATTTTCACAAAATAGTTGTTGTCCGCAGAGTATGCATGAACAGCTATTGAATAGTACATGAACCGATGCTGTAAATATAAAACAAATATAATTCATTCGAAGGTATTGCATTCAGTGGCTAAACACAGCAGCATGATAAAATTTCACATCGTAGAATATGTTAGAATTATGCTTATAACCGAAAGGCCATAAACCATGCCTTTTTCTCACCATTTAAACATTTTTTCTTTGGAAGAGGGGTAATTGATCATAAAATCCGGCACTTGAGTGGGGAATTTAAACGAACCAATCTTCAAAATTTCAAAGGATTGGGCGGGGGGGGGGGGGGTTGCCCAGAGGGTGGGATTTTGAAGCTTTGAAACGATCGACGCTTAAATTGTAACCTATACAAAAGATTAAAGCCAGTCCCCAGAATTGTTAAAAACATATTCTCAGCCTAAAGCAAAAAACCCATTTTTTTTAATGAGAAACGTTCTCAGATTAAATGCCATTTTCCAGTATACAGCCTAAATTTTATGACATAATCCTAACCCACTGAGAAAATTTCTCATGAAACTAAATGCTAAGGTTGGTCAGTTTTCCACGCAATTCTCACGTGCTGAGACATTTGCTATCAATCAAATTCGCTGACGAAGGAACGGCAGTAACCATCGCCTTAGTCTGCGAACAGGCCATTGCTTGGTCTCGTCACGCAACGAAGAACAGAGTGCAAGGGAGGAATGAGACTACAGAAAGCATGGCATCAATGCATTTCCTTTTTCCCGACAATTATTCAGACAAGAATGGCAATAGACCATAAAGCACGTGTGTCTGAGTTTATTTTGGATAAATTGGAAGGTTTCTTTGCTCTCCACTGATCGATATTTTCATTGCAATCTTTTGAAAGTAAAGGCTCTTTTCTTTTACAAAAATGCAAACATCAGTTACTTGGTATTCCATTTCAACCCACCCATCAAAAAAAACAAACTTTTGCATGCGTAGCATGCCTACGTTTACGTCAGTAAAGGGCGGACAAAACAAATCGCTCTCCCACGAGATCTCGTTGATAAACGAGTCACACCGCGATTTGTGTAATAACCTGAGATCCCTGAAAAGTCGATTGAGGTTTGTAATAAATACCTAGAGATGACGACTTGGATTTAGAGTAATAATTTAGTCGTTTGGTTTCCTTTGTTCTTGCCAAGAACAAGTGTTTTTTCCCTCTTTTCTGTAGTTTTGTACACCCTGATGTCACCTAATAATATTGGATTCAGAATGAATTTGTATAAGCAATAGTGACATTACGTTGCTTGGCAAGCGGCCTAATCGTTCACAAAAAGTACCTAGAAAGTTAAAACGTGAGGTTACAGGTTATTTGTTTACAGTTAACCTGAACGATGGAACTTTCATTCATTTAATACCTGAATTTTCTCAAGCAATTTGTTCGCAGTGAAAGAGCGAGCGAAGTTTTAATTTAAGTTCTACAACAAATAAACGCTCTCGGTGAGTCTTTCCAAGTCCGTTCAATTTGAACATCTGTACCGTAAATTGCACAACAGAAACTGAAGGAATTTTTTGAGAAAAGGCCGCATTAAATCCCTTGTGTCTCGTTGGAGTGTGCCATTCGAATTTACTTTTTGTAGAGGAAAGACCAGATTTACACACGCCACTGCAGCAAACAAACGAGCAAACTCTCACAACTTCAAAATAAAAAAAACTGAATTTACTCACAATTACTTTCCTCGACGTTTACTTAATGAACAGAGGTAAATCTTCGAACATGAATGAATCGTCGATGAGAGTGAATAATACTTTCCGTTAAATCAGACTGTTTTTGAAGAAAACACTGTCATGAGAGTCTTGCCAAACTAGTTCCGTTGTTTTTCAAATGTTCTTACGCTTTTTTTTTACTTACGCGCTCTCTAATTGACAGGTGTCAGATTGTGACAGCTACTTGTAAAAATAATGTTTCAAAGTTTGTTTGGAAGCCTTTTAAATCACCTTTATCGTTACGGAAATGAAAATGTTTCGCTGAGGCATCCCTCTTGAATTGCATCACCTCTATTTTAACTACCGTTTACTCGCTCAAAAACTGTTCAGTTTATGGAAGATCTTGCCGTATTTAAAGCCCTAAACCATTCGGGTTCTTTCGGAAAGAATTTCTTCAAGTTTCAAAAAAATAAATATGTTATTTACCGGCTAAGGGTCGGTCCGTATGGTGAAAAACTGTGACCTCGGTCTTGAAAATGCTGCCCTCGGCCTACGGCCTCGGGCGGTATTTCAAGACCTCGGTCACATTTTTTCACCATACGGACTTCCCAGCCGGCAAATAACATATATGTATTACTTTTAAACTCAGAAAATTGCGTGTAAACATCAGAAATATTTATGGAATATATTTTAGTGTGTCACAGAAAATCCTAATGAAGTGTCAGAAAACCAAAATTAAATTGAAAAAAACAATTATGGTCATTAGTTTTTGATTTTGAGGGTTACTTGTATGGGTCAAACTTGAATGTGATTGGCAGGTGCTGATGTGACTTTTTAGAAGCCTCACCGGCTCCTGACACTTCCTTAAAAAAAAGGTCGCTTGAATTAAATTTTTATCGAAAACTGCAGTTATTAACGTTTTTGTCAAATATCTAGTTTCCTAGGATTTTAGTGAAACTAGCGCGCGTAGGAATTTTTTCACGAAGGACACCCGCGAAGGTGGGAAGTAACATTAACACTATTTTTAGAATAATGGCAATGGTAACATTATGAACATCACAGCCACACTTCATTACAATGACGGGACACCCTCTGCAGGTCTGTAAGAATTGTATGCAAAAAGGCTTTGTCAGCTGCATAACACGAACAAGTAGATTCACGATTAACTGTTTGGAGTATGACCCTTACAGTCGTACATAATTTACTTATTCCAACTGCAGCGAAACCTCCATTCAGAGGACACCCTGGGACCAGAGCAAGAGTCCCCTACATAGAGGTTTAGTTTTGTTAACAATTTATCCACCTAAAAAAGCGTCGTCTGAATTGTTATCCTTTGGCAAAAAGTCTTTGTTATTAAATGATGTGCAGTATTAAAAAAAAAGGTCATATTGTGAAAGCTGTTGTCATTGTGATTAGTGTACACTTAATCTTTGGGATCAGTCACATTTTGAGTGGTTAGAATGAACGTTACAACCAGGCTTCAGGACCCAGAAAAAGTGTTCTAATCCCTGGAATATAGGTGTCCCTTCCTTTGAGGTAACGGATACAAAGATATTATTGAACATTTCTCTGAGACCAAAGTTTGTATAATGAAATAATTATGTGGTTATTGTTCATCGTGGTGTAAGATAGGAGATGAACTTCATTCGTTTTCTCACTTGTTACTGTGGATGTTGATCGCGACATTTCGACTGCAATACTGCTAGTCTTCATCAGGCGATGAGGTCGATTGATTACATTTCGTTATTTTTAGCACGTTGGTTCGCTGCTATTGGTGCATTTCGATCCTCATTAATATTATTCCGGTTGTTAGATGGTGTTAGGGAATGATGATATGAGGGAACACCATCAACGTTGCGATCAACATCCAAAGTGACTCCCTCGTGAGACAAACGAATAAAGTTCATCTCCTACCAAAGTTTGTGTTTCCTGAATAGGGGTGTCCCAAATAATTTAAGTGATACAAAGAAAATATAATGAAGAGATCAAGTGAGCAATCCAGCTTCCATTACTCAAGTCATGCAATTTGTCTCATGGTCTACAATTCATTACATCTATTTTTAGGTCAAGTTAATAAAGATTAAATGCATGTTAAAATGTCATTCCTGGTGTCGGCATCGAATCCGCTGTGTTGGCAGTCAGGAGTTAGACCGATCATACAAGTTAGACTAGATATAACATTCAGACTAGTCGGATTAGTCAGAGTAGTCAGACTGGTTAGACCCCAAGGGTTTACAGAAGTCTTGATTTTGAGGCAAAAATTTTAAATCCGACAGAGTTACAGCAGATCACTGGGTGATCTGCAATTTGCTCAATGTTATTAGTATCAGTAGCAACCATCAGGACAGAGTCGCTGGTAAACAAGTAGGTCTCTTGTCTTTGATGGGGCTTTGAGTCTCAGACTTGCTGAACAGTTATCAATCTACACAAGTCTTTAGGACTGGTCATTATTCATTACCTTTAGAGGGGGTCGCAGGAATTTGAATTTGGTTGTGTCACAATAAAATTTACCTAATCCCCCTTA